ATAGGTGGGCAACCCTACTTCACTCTGCTGCTGCTGCTGTGTGTCCTTTCCATGGCTCCTGGGTATTTGGGGCATTGACATGCCTGTTCCTGGGTCGATGTTGGTGTTTGGTTAGATATACCTTGCTCGAACAAAATGGCTTCTGATTTCATAGGTGGGCAACCCTACTTCACCTGTCTCTTATACACATCTAGATGTGTATAAGAGACAGCTTTTTCCCCCCCCCCGGCGCTCAAAGCGCTCAAAGCGCTTCAAAAAAAAAAAAAAAAAAAAAAAGGAAAAAAAAGAAAAACGAGCAGATGTTCCGGTGTCCGTTGGTGCTGCTGCTATCGTAGTAGTTGCTGTCTCTTATACACATCTAGATGTGTATAAGAGACAGCCGTTGGTGCTGCTGCTATCGTAGTAGTTGTGGTTTGTTGAAGAATCTGGTCGCAATCGGGCCCAGATTCCGTCGAACAGCATGGGACAGAGGAGGAGTTAAGCGAAGGACGGACGTCGTTATCCAGTTGTGGAAGACATCGATAAAATAGAGGAAGAGGCGAGAGGAGTCTGAGGTCGAGTAGCAGCAGGAGTGTGAGGAGGAGGAGGAGGGCGAAAAGAAGAGGGAGAAGAGGGAGGAGGAAGAGGAGGAGAAGACGAAGGAGGAGGAGGAGGAGCACTCAAAGTTCTGAGCGACGTGCAAAGATGGAGTCGTTCTCCTTTCACCAATCGGGGGCTTATCGAACGGCAGCGATTCTTCTCTCACTTGTTCTCGCTGTGGATGCTATCGCTCGTGCGAGCTATGCCGCTCAGTCCTCTCCTCATCGACATCGCCAAAGTGAAAGTGTGGCAGGGCGAAGATGGGGGGGTGCCTTCATGGAATATGCTCATGGCCATGTCGATGCTCGAATGGACCAGGAGAGGATTGTCGGCGGAGGAAAGGCCAACCGGACTGCATTCCCCTACATCGTTCTGATAACGATCTTGAAAGACAACGACGAGTTCTTTTGCGGCGGTACTCTCATCGATAGACAGTATGTTGTCACTGCCGGTACGTTCACTGAAACTGCCG